TTTGCAGATTGTTCATTGCTGGCTTTTAGAAACACAACTGATTTTTGTGTGCTTATTTTGTACCCTGCAACTTTGGTGAATTTGTTTATAAGCTCTAGGTCTAGGACCTTCCTTGTGGGTTCTTTGGGGTTTTCTATATATAGGATCATGTCATCCATGAATAGACATAATTTTACTTCTTCCTTTGCAATTTGGTTGTCTTTTGTTTCTTCTTCTTGTGTAATTCCTCTGGCTATAATCTCCAGTAATGTTCAATACCACTGGTGGAGAAAATGGGCATCCTTGCCTCATTCCTGATCTGAAGGGGGAAGCTTGCAGCTCTTCACCATTGAGTATGATGTTATTTTATCATGTTGAGTATATCCCCTTCTATTCCTAGTTTTCTGAGAGTTTGTTTTTTTTTTTATTCTTTCTCTGCAGAGGTTGGATACTTCTGAGAGTTTTTATCATGAAAGAATGTTAGATTCTGTGAAATTACTTTCATGCGACAATTAAGATGATCATGTAGTTTTTTTCCTTTGGCTCTATTAATGTGATGTATTACACTGATTGATTTTCTTATGTTGAGACACTGGTATACACCCCACTTGGTCATGTTATATAAACCTTGTACAATGCTTTTGGATTTATTAGTATTTTGTTTGGGTATCTGTGCATTTATATTTTAAAAGAATGCAGGTCTGCAATTTTCTTGTGATGTTTTTACCTGGCTTTGGTATTCAGGGTAATGCTGGCCTCACAGTGAATGAGTTAGGAAGTAGTCCCTCCTCTTCTATTTTTGGAAGAGTTTGAGAAGGATTGGTGTTAATTGGTGTTAATTCTTCTTTCAATGTTTGGTTCAATTCAACAGTGAAGCAGCCTGTTCCTGAGGTTCTTTGTAGGAATGTTCTGATTGCTGATTCAATGTATTTGTTATTGGTCTGTGGATATTTTCTATTTTGTCTGGAGTCACTTCAGGTTTGCTTCTAGGAATTTGTCAATTTCATCTAAGTTATCTACTTTGCAGGCATACACTTGTACACAGTATCCTTCTTACAATTCTTTTGCTTTCTGTTGATCAGTAACAAAGTACCCACTTTCATTTTGGGTTTTAGTTATTTGCATCTTCTCTCTGTCTCTCCTAACTAAATGTTTGTCAATTTTGTTAATCTTCTCAAAGAACTAATTTTTGGCTTCATTGATTCTATTATTTTCCTATTTTATTTATCACTGCTCTAATCTTTATTATCTCCTTCTTTCTGCTATCTTTGCTTTTTAGTTTAGTTTGCTTTAGTTTGCTTTAGTTTGCTTTTCCTATTCTAGTTTCTTCGGTGTATAGTCAGGTTATTCATTTGAGATCTTTCTTCCTTTTCAATATAGGCATTTGCCGCTATAAATTTTCCTCTGAAGACTGCCTTTATGTATCCTGTAAGTTTTGGTATGTTGTGTTTTCATTTTCATTCATCTCTAAGTATTTTCTAATTTCCCTTGTGATTTCTTCTTTGATGGTTTAAAGCATGTTGATTAATTTCCACATATTTTTGAACATTCCTGTTTTTCTTTTGCTATTGATTCCTAGCTCCATTTCACTGCGGCAGGGGAAGATATTTCATATGATTTCAATCTTTGCACATTTACCAAGACTTGTTTCGTGGCCTAACATATGGTCTCTCCTGGAGAATTTACCATGTGTACATAAAAAGAATGTATATTCTGCTATTGTTGGGTAGAAATTTCTGTATGCAGGTGTCCCAAGGTATCCCTAGTAGAAGTTCAGGACTCCCCTTGGATACCAAAATCTACGTATGTTAAGTCCCTTATATAAAATGGTATACTATTTGCATAAAACCTATACATATCGTCGCATACACTTTAAATCTTCTCTAGATTACAGTCACGTGTCACTTAACGATGGGCATAAGTTCTAAAAAATCTGTCATTAGGCTATTTTGTCCTTGTGAGAACAACGAAGTGTACTTACACAAACTAGATGGTATAGCCTCATATACATCTTACAGCCTATAGCTCCTAGGCTACAAACCTGCATGGCATGTTACAGTACTGAATACTGTAGGCACCTGTAAAACAATGGTGTGTATTTGTGTATCTAAACATAGTAAAGGAATAGTAAAAATATGGTATAAATGATTAAAAATGGTACACCTGTGGAGGGCATTTACTATGAATGGAGCTTGTAGGACTAGAAGTCATTCTGGGTGAGTAAGTGAGTGAATGGTGAGTGAATTTTGAAGGCCTAAGACATTACTGTACACTATTGTAGACTTTGTAAAATATACACTTAGACTACACTAAAATTATTTTCAAAAAATTATTTCTTCAATAATAAATTAACCTTAGCTTACTGTAACTTTATAAAAATTTCTTTTTAACTCTTTTGTAATAACACTTAGCTTAAAACATAAACATATTTTACAGCTGTATAAAAATATTTTCTTTTTTTATATCCATATTATATAAGCTTTTTCCCATTAGTTTTTTTTTGGTTTTTTTTACTTTTTAAATGTTTTTGTTAAAAAGTAAGACATAGACACACATATTAGCCTAAGCTTACACAGGGTCAGGATCATCAAGACATTACTAGGTGGCAGGAATTTTTCAGCTCCATTATACCAGGATCACCATAATATATGCAGTCTGTGGTTTACCAAAACATTGTTATGTAACTCATGACTATACTTACAATACTGAACACAATGTACATGCTCTATAGCTGTTATATTTTATTGTTTTGGAAATACTGACAAGAAAAAAATATCTGCTCATGTTCGGTACAGACACAACCATCCATTTTTTCCCCCCCAAATATTTCTGATCCATGGTTGGTTGAATCCACAGATGTGGAAACCATGGATATGGAGAGCTGACTGACTGACTGACTGACTGACTGACTGACTGAATGACTATCTATCTATCTGTTAGGTCTAGTTTGTTATAGTATTGTTCAAGATCTCAATATCTTTATTGATCTTATCTATATGTTCTATCCATTATTGGAAGTGGGATATTAAAGTCTCTAATCTTGTTGTTTGTAGGGCTACCTATTTCTCCTTTTATGTCTGTTAAAAAGTGTTCTTAATAAAGTGAAGTTTCCTACAATCTTTAAAAGGGCTAACATATGTTTAAACTTTATATGTGTATATCTGTTGACCAAGACATCCCACTTTAGGAAATATGCCAAGGAAACTAAAGTGTGGTAACAATCATACAGAAGACTTATTGAGCCTCTATGTGCCAGGCCCTGGCCTAAGCACTTAAATGCATTAAGTTATTTACTGGGTATATCTGTTATTATTTTGAATTTATAAATGACACAGAGATGAGTGTTTGAAAGGGAGGTAAATATATGTGATTCAAAGTATTCAACACAGCAGGGTTTATTATACAAAAACAAACAAACAATAAACTACTAGATAGAACATGGCACTGAGAGTTAGAAAACCTGGGTCTAAATTGCACTCTATCACTATACTATAAAAGTGAGACTCCTCTGGGGCTCAATATCCTCAAAATTGCACTCTATCACTATACTATAAAAGTGAGACTCCTCTGGGGCTCAATATCTTCAAATAAAAAGAATGCCTAAGATTTCTTCCAGTTTGCACTTTATGATTCTTATAATCCAAAGCACTTACAATCGTGCTGGAAACAAAGCAGGCCCTGACTGAAAAGTATTTGAGACAGTGATGTAATGACTTTTATATACTAATCCTACTCTAGAAGCCTAACTGTATATAGAAGACACATTTCTACTTTGTAAGCTAACAAAGACTGCACATTCATGATGAACCAAAACAAGCAAACTCCCAAAACAAAAACAAGAAATAAAATCTAGAGCTTATATTTCTATTTATAGCTGAAGAATTACTTATAACCACTGAAATTCAACTGTCAGAGAAAAAGTTCTGACCAGTTCTACCATATGATTCATTCATTGATTTAACACATTTGTTAAACAAATATTAAATATCTGGACCTTTGTCAGGGTCAGGTTAATAATTTATCTGTCTATGTTTTCAATAAGCTAGGTAACAGTGAAGGTGGGGATACAGATTTACAAATGAATAATTACAATAGAGCTATGCTACAGTTATTAACAGAATTCTGAAGGACCACAGAAGGCATATCTAGACTTTCTTAGATAATATTCATGTTGATTCTTTTATATTCTGGATGAATAAGACAATAGACTAGGCATGGTTCTGCAAGGAATAGGTAGAATAGGGGCTGACAGGCAAAGCAGAACAAACAGGGTAGACAAAGTTTAGAGTCAAAAAAGGGCAGACACTACATTGAAACTATTATTAATATTTAACACTGTGAAAATATGACATCAATTTAATCTTAATTCACTCACTGTGACATACATAATATTATTAGTATATTAATAGTTACTGAGCACTTACAGTATGTTAGCTTACAAATGTATGTATGTTCTCCTGACATGAAATACTTTTACAGATGAGAAAATTAAGGCATAAAGAGGGCAAATGTTTGCCCAGTGTTACACAGCTAGTAATTGGTGAAGTGAGAAATTAAAACTGGGTAGTCTAACTCTAGAGATGACACAAGGATTTCCCTTGCAAAGCAACCTTTTGCTGAAATGTATTATCTCATGCCCATTATCATCTCATCCCAAATAACACAAGTGTCTGCAAAGGTATCCCTGAGTCATTTACAAGATAGACAGAGGGTCTAGATATCTAACCATGACTATTCATGCAGATTACCAGTACATCTTATTCAGGTAGACAATCCTTCATAAATATTCCAATTCCTTCCTGATAGATTCCTATTCCCCACCAAACACAGTGTTCCCTTTTCTTCAGCATGATTAGGAAATCTATATCAGCTTCCTACTAGTAAGAGTGAGAATTAAAAATACTAGGCTTGAAGAGCAGCTAGTTCACTCTACACAGAATAGAGTACATAAGCTAACATTCCTATCAAGCATAAGGAGAAGAAAATTGATTAGGCTCCATAAAGGTGAAATTAAAAGATACCTTCAGTCCCTCCAATTCATTTTCCAATTGCTTAGAATAGTGCTCACTCTGTTCACGCAGTTTCCTGTCTTTAGATGCTTCAGCAGATAGAGCTTCTGTATGAACTTCCAGCTTTAAAATAAAATGAAAAAAGCAGATTTTATGGTTATAATTTTTTTAAACAAAACATTTTTATCCATGCAAATTTACCTTGTAATAGAAAGATAACTGAAATGTTGAAATTCACATTAAATAATACCAAACTATAAAAATAACCTTTTAAAAAAATTAGAGAAAAAATTACATATTATTTCACCAGTCTCAAAACAGCTTTAATCACTATCCCATGGGCACTATAAAATCTGCCTGACTACTAACCTCTTTTTTGGCTCTTTCTGTTCTGCGCAGTTCTTGCCTTAAGCTTTCAACTTTTTGCATCACCAGGTCCACCTCTTCTTCCTTATCTCGGACGTGGCGAGCAAGTTTCTGTTTTTGGGTGTGCAATTCTGTTAGTCGTTCATTGATCTCCATGAATTCCTGCATGGCCAGTTTCCTCTGACAGTGTGCGTCTTTCAGTTCTTTGGATTGGTTTTTTAATCGCTCGCTAGCCTGGACTAGTTCCTACAGTTTTGTAAAAAGAATATAAGTTACCAATTCTGCAACCTAGAGACCAAATTTGGCCACCAAAGTAGCTATTATTAAGTCAAGAAGAGCCAAAATTATTTGCCTCAGGACAAAATTAAAAGAAATGAACTACTTATGAACAGATATTAAGGGCATCGTGCCCTATTTATATAGTCTCAATTCCTTATGCTAACATGGTAAATGCAATGGAGCTGCTGATTTAACCTTATAGTACCTTAGTTTCCACAAATGAGTAAAGAATATAGGAATATAAGATGTGATAGTCAAAATAAAGATTTTGTGAAATTTAATAAATACTTGTGAGTTGTTTTTCTTTTTAAACATGAAAGACTACAAATGACTAAAAACACAAAACAAAACAAACTTGAGTTGCAGGGTTGCCCTTGATGGGGAAACTAAGCCTTAAGCCAGAAGCAAGGAGAAAAAAACAAAACTGAGACTCCCTGCTAAAGTGAGAAACTTAGAAGGAAGCCAAAGTAGACAGGTTGGTACAGCTACCTGCCTCCCAGCAAAAGGAAATGCAATCTTCTTGGGGGAGCGCAGGGGAAACCTTGATGAAGTCTGAATTTTTCACATATTAAAAGCAAACAAGTATGACCTCACAACCACAGATATCCAAACGCCCAAAGAACAAACTACCAGAAACAAACAATAGAAACAATAAACAATAAAAATAAACACCAAAGGTGTTAGAATCATTTAATATTAACATAAAATTGCTATATATGAAATGCTTGAAAAAAATATAAAAAGAAACCATTAAAAAGGGAAAATGACAAAACGCAATTAAAAATGACCAAGTAGATTTACAGAAGAACTTTATAGAACACTTAGAAATGACAAAAAATGTGTTAAAACTAAAGACATGGATCTACCATGTAGCTACCATGTAGGTTTAGGAAGCTCTACATTTATGAAGCAAGAAAAATATAAAGAAACCTAAACCCAGAAAGGTTCAAAAAATGAAACTGGGTAATACAAAAGAAAAATAAAAGACCCTAAAGGAAATCAGATGGGGGGAAAAAAGGCAAATCACCTGTATATCCCCATCCTAAAAATAAAATTTTAAAAAAAGAAAGAAAAATAATCAGAAATAATGAGAACAGACACTAAATAAATGGTAGAAATAGAAACAAGGTGAAATATTTTCAAAGACATGAGAAAATTATTAAAATTAAATATCCAGAAAATTTACTTTTCAAGTATGAGGCTACACATAAATGAAAAGTAACAGAGCTTAACACAATCAGATTTGCACTAAAGGAACTTCTAAAGCTTTATTTTAGGGAAAAAAAGTGATTTTTAGAAGGAAGGTCTACTACAAGAGAAATGGAGAGCTCAGAAACTGGTAAACAAAAATGTGAATAAAAACAAGCATGTATTTAAGAATATATTATATTATGTTGAATTTGTACAGTAAACAAAAGATATAACTAAAATTTGGTCAATAACAGCACATAAGTTGGGAAGAGGTAATACAGGTTAAGTATCCCTAATCTGAAAATCTGAAATCTGAAATTTTCCAAAATCAAAAACTTTTTAAGCACTGCCATGACACTCAAAGCAAATGTTCATTGGAGCACTTCGGATTTTGGATTTTCAGATTAGAGATATTCAACCGATATAATGTAAATATTCTAAAATCCAATAAAATCTGAAATCCAAAAAACTAGTTCTAAGCATTTGAGATAAGGGATATTCGGCTGAGTGTGCTGGCTCATGCCTGTAATCCTGGTAGCCTGAGGTGGGCAGATCGCTCAAGGCCACAAGTTCTAAACCAGCTGAGCAAGAGCGAGACCTTGTCTCTACTAAAAACAGAAAGAAATTGATTGGCCAACTAAAAATATAGGGGAAAAAAATTAGCCAGGCATAGTGGCGGATGCCTGTAGTCCCAGCTACTCCGGGAGCTGAGGTAGTAGGATTGCTTGAGCCCAGGAGGTGGAGGTTGCTGTGGGCTAGGCTGACACCATGGCACTCTAGCCCAGGCAAAAGAGAGAGACTCTGTCTCAAAAAAAAAAAAAAAAAAAAAAAAGATAAGATATATTCAACCTATAGAATTACAGGTCCTTAAATTGTTTGGGGGGGAAATAGTTTAGAATATGGATTTAGACTTTCTTAATAAGCATGGTTAAATTCAAGAGTAATTACCAAAAGACTAGAAAGAGTAAAATGTGGGAAAAAAATGTCAATTAAGAGGAAAAATGAAACGAGCTCTGGAGACTGTTCGTATAACATACTCAACACTACTGAACTATATACTTTAAAATATTTAAGATGTTAAATTTTATATTATATGTATTTTACCACAAGTAAACATTTTTAAAAGGGAAGGAAAAAAGACAAAAAGCACAGAAAAAGTATGACAAACAGCAAAAAATAAAGTAGTAGAAACATGTCCATATACCTTAGTAATCAAACTAAATATAAAAGCCCTAAGCTCATCAGTTAAAGGCAGTTTTTGTTATACCAGATTAAGAAATGAAATTTAAACTTTACTACAAAACGCGTTATTAAAGATATCACTACGCAATGATACAATGCAATATACGATGAAGAAATATCATTCTAAACTTCTGGGCATTCTATAAGATAGCCTTAAAATGTTAAAAAGATATCCTATAACTTTAGAGAAAAATCGGTAAATATATCACCATAGTGAAAATTTTCAATTTTCTTAATCATTAATAAACTAATTGCATAAAAAATGGTGAATATAAAGATATTTTCAAGAATACACACTGAACATTTAAAAAATGGAATAGGGTAGGCCACAAAGCAAGTCTCAGTAGATCTCAAAGAACAGATATCATTATAGATCAAGTTCTTTAATGACATTTCAGTTAAATCAGAAATCAACAATAAAAAGATAAAACTCCATATACTGCAAATTTAAAAACAATTATCTGGATCAATGAGAAAAATCATAAGGGATACTAAAATATTTAAATAAAAAAATACAAAACAAAATGTTTATTATATACTAAAATTTGGAGAGACAGAGAGTCTCTGCAGAAAAGACAGATTCTAGGAAAAATTAGAAGAAAGAAGCAAGCAGACGACCATACATCAGATGAGGGTTGGAAGGAGGGGAAGCTAAGACCACGGGAGACTCCACGGGAGAAGGTTGCAGAGGAGAACTGGAAATAGAGACCACTCAAGTAGCCTGGAGACCAGTGGCAAGGGGAGGTGGAGTGGTTAACTCTCCCCCTTGCATCTCAGATTGCTGGTGAGCTCCCAAGCAGGTGGAGAGACCTGCGGACACCAGCCCAGAGACGGCCACCGCCAGTGAGCGGTATGCCTATAGCGGACATGGCACCAGGCTACCAACTCTCTCGGGGCAAATCCCTGTGCACAGACCCGAGCCCCACGGCAGGCACCATATTGCCTCATTCTCCCCTCGTCCTTCCCTATTTGCAGCTGCCAAGGAGAGACAATATAGCCACCAGCCAGAGGCACCTCCAGGGAACGGGACCTTCCCTTTTGGGGCCCTACAGCTGACTGAGGGGCACTCAGACAGTGAACTCCCTACCCACCAGCCCTCCCAGGTGCTGCCCACTCAGTGATTCCAGAAGAACGGGGCAGACCCTAAGGCTGAAAGACATCAACCCAGCTTGGGCTACCCTGGGTGAATTGGGACTGGCACTCCCCTCCCTAGCGGGGTTAGAGATTGAACTCCGGGGCCCAGAGGTCAGACCTGCAGACCACATCCAGTGCACCCATGTCTCAAATTGCCCTGGGCACAGAAGGAATATCCATGAACAGCCTACTGAGGTGTGTGTGCCTTCAGGGGCAGATCAGCGTGCTTGAGGGCAACCCTCCTACCAAAGGGAGGCCGTGAGCCCAGCCCAGGCGGTGTTCCTGCGCCGGGAACCTCCCGGCCAGTATCACAGCCAGGGTTACCCGGTGGTGTGAAGTCTGGCCTGCTGGCAGAGGCTCAGGAGTAGCCCCGGAGTTGGGGAGGGTAGAAAGGAGTGAGGCCTGTTCCAGACTGTGAGTCTAAGACAGCCCCAACCCCCACACACAGACTTTCTGACTGAGCGGGGCCATTCCAGCCCCTCCCAGACAGCTTTTCCCAGAAGCAGAGAACAGAACTTTGACCCCTGCTAACAGCATTGGTGGTACCTGAGGGCAGGTCCACCCAACCCAGCTCCACCCAGACTAACTCACAGACCAGCCCTCACTGACGGGGAGAATGACACACCTGGAAGTCCCAGGGCCCCACCCACCACCTGAGGAACTACAGTGCCTCTCCAGAGGAACAAGAACTGTATAAAAGACCCAAAAACAACAGTGTAGCCTGCTCCTCCCAGCAAGCGCCACCTACTGACAGAGAGGACATTCTGCACACCCTTTTACAGCACCTATTGACTCATCATACAGGGTGTGGTCGAATCTCTCTCACAAACACCACCTACCAGCTCAGAGACTAAACAGAGCGTGTCAATACCCAAATGAAAACCTAAAGGCAAGAAGCAACAACTGATCCAGATGGGAAGAAATCAGCAAAGGAACTCTGGGAATATGAAGAACCAAATGGAAAGCACACCCCCAAAGAGGAGTACCAGCCCCTAAGAAACGGACACCAACCAAAATCAGACCACTAAAATGACAGAAGAGGAATTTCGATCATGGATCGTAAGAAAAGTCAACAACTTGCAAGAACAACTAGATAACCAACACAAAGAAAACGCAAAAAGATTCCAGGACCTGAAACAAAAATTCACTAAAGAAACTGAAACAATGAAGAAAAGATTAACCCAACTCCTGGAAATGAAGAATCAATTCAGGGAACTACAAAACACATTGGGAAGCCTCAAGAACAGGGTAGATCAAACAGAAGAAAGAATCTCAGAGATTGAAGATAACACCTTGCAATTAAATAAATCACTCACAGAGATACAGCAGAGAAACAAGACAAAAGAGCAAAGCCTACAGGAGATGTGGGATTATGTGAAGAAACCTAATGTGAGGGTCCA